GAGCATGTTCGGTATCACAATGCATTTTTCTTTAAATAGAAAAAAAATAGATTCACAGAAATAGAAAGTAACAAGTAATGTTGGTTTGTAGATGATTGGTAAAACATATTGAAATATTCGCCAAACATATTGAGCATCTAATGCTAAATAAAGAGTTCCTTAAATTGCTCTACATGAACACATGGCACAGGTGTCAGCTTGGAATTAATTTGAAAAACCCTGCAGACATTTAAAATTCATGAAAAATCATTTTCTGGGCTCGAAAAGCATCAACAGTGAAGCTTGGACCTAACTTCAGAGCGTGACTGTGTGCCTGCACACAGAAACAAAGAACAGCTTAAACTGTGTTGATTATTTTTAAATTCATTTTCAATAAAAGTGAATAAAAAACACACAGTTTAGATGTGCTTAAGACTTTTCATTTACACTGAAAATCATTTTAAAATTGAAGTTTGCAGCAGAAATGCTTTAAAAACAAATGATTTAGTTTTGCAGACTTTTTGACCTTTTGCTTTAAAGTCAGATTTTATCAGCTGTTGTCAGATAAATGTAGATGTGACTCACATCTACATTTGCTCACATCATTTGAGCAAACCAATTCAGTGTTTTTCCTCTACATTATAATAATTCTAATAGAAATCATATGCTTCCAAACATTCAACTGACATTAGTAACATTAAAAACTGAACCTATTCTGTTTTGTTTGTTACTTTTAGCAGGTTATTGCCAATAATCTCCCATTGTTTTGACTTTTTAGGATTTCTTCATCAGACAAATATTTCGTGCAGACGTGCAGACAAACAGCAGTCCCAACCACAAACACCACAACATTGAGTCACTTCTCAAGGGACATTCTGTCCTCTTCTCTGTGTCTGATTCTTCATCTAAAATCCAATCATTTTTATTCAACTATGCAGTAACAAAATGTACATTATTATCCAAACACTTCATTTACARACTGACAGACATCTTTCTTTCTTGAGATTCGATGTCTAAAACTCCATTCTGTGGTCGGAGCAGAAATGTTTACATCTGGAGCATCAATTTGCACAAGTTGAGAAAGTATTATTTGTGATTTGTATATTTTGTACCCATCACTTAGACTGTTAAATCTCCTCCCTTTKTCCAAAACAACTGAGTATTTTGGTGTTTGTTATGCAATGTGACAGAAATAGAAATTCTCCCATTTTTTTCCTTATCAGCAGTGTGCAAAAAGGCCTCCAATTTCTCTTTCCTTTTAAGAATTCCTGCTCGCTGCTACTGGATAATTGCTTGTGGCCACAACAAAAGGCAGCTGAGAAAATGAGAGAGGGAGAGAAAAGAGATGGAGAAGGAGAAAGTCTTCAACTCTGAGAGTGTTCTATCATTAAACAAATAAAGGGCATAAATTCAGTCTGCATATTTCTTTTTTGTGTTGGTTGATAATGTAAAAGTAGCTATTTCTCTCTCTATCTCTCTCTCTCTCTTTGTTTCAGGAATCATGTCACAATGTGTAAAAAAATGTTTTGCTCAGGTTAGTGTTCATTTCCTTTCCCGTTGCTTTCTGGGGTTACAAAACACACACGCTCGAGATTTGGCAATATCCTTCACTTGAAGTGCAATGACAAACACACCCGCAGTTCCCTTTTGTGGGACTTTTTCTCACACAATGCATTGTGTTTTAAATTAGGGGAAAAATACATATTTTTTACAATATCCAGACCAGTCACAGTGCAATTTGTCAAAGTTCAAACATAAAGATCTTTATTGTCAGCACATCCCAAACTCCAAAATTCCAAGAAGCAAATAAGACAAATTGTTTCACTTCCTCTTTTTTTAGATGATTAAAAAACAAGAAGAAATCTGTTTTTCCAACCACAACACGCTACACTTCTTCAATAAAGACACTCTGACCTAAAGAATGTCACAATTATGAAAAAACAGTCAAAATAAATGGTAAATTTAAATTTTAACAAAATATCTGCACATTTGTATCCATTAATAGTTACTTTTTTTTAAAGGGTTGCCTTAGCATTTCTACTAACATCCTAGATTTTGATGGAAGAGTTAAGCCAAAAGGACAAATAAAAAATACATGAAAAAATGGCACAGAGTGGCTAGAAATTGAATTAATTTGGAATTAAATTAGATAAATTTTCCATTCAGCTGTCCAATATGTACCTGAGTGACTAAAAAAAAAATATCCGCTTTGAGAAGTTTTCATTTTCAATCTGGCACAAGTATCATAATGAAAGCAGGAGCAAATTGCTTGATGTGAAGATAAAGGAGAGCCATCAGAGAGGCTCGCCACTCACCACACAACAGCTGCAGCCGACTGAGGAAGACAAGAGGCTCTCATCAGCCCTGATGGTACCAGATGAAACAGTGGGGCTCAAAGCAGCTCCGATTGGAAGATGGTAACGTGAGTGTGTGTGTGTGAGTGTGTGTGTTAGTCAAGTAACAGCACCACCAGCAACATCCTTGTTTTGAATTCAATTTGTGAAACTTCACTCCTTTTCAGGAAGAAACATGTGACTTGTGGGGCCCTGTTATGGGAAGGAAAAACAGGGTGGATAGATTACGAGCAATAACGTCTAAAAAAAAGGGTAGTTGACTTAATCAAGTTAAAGTTTGAAACCTAGAAATTTAATTTGTTTTTTGGCAGAAAGAGTTTGCATTTTTGCTCTTTCCATGAATGAAATTAAAAGTACTTTAAAGTAATCAGATCTTTTTTTTGAAAAAGTGGAAAGATTATGAATAAWCAATAAGTTACCTGTTGCAGGTCTCCACAAAACCCCATTAGAGTAATACATTTTACTTTTGAGTTTAATTAAAGTCAGTTAATAAAAAAACATTTCTACACCAACTTTAACAGATGAAAACAAAGTACTTCAAAATAAATGACAACACAATAATAAAATGTGTAAACAAATCACAAACATACTCAAGAGCTTGAATGTGAGAAACCCTAAAAGTTGATAAAGATTACTGGTGAACAAAATCTAAACACGTAACCAGTGAAGGTACTTTAAAACGTTTGGAGAGTCATTCTGAGTGGGACAAAAAGTGGACTGCTGCCTCATTAACACAAATTCAGTCCAATAAAAACCTTTACATCTTTGCCTTGTTTAATTCTATTTACATTTTTATGATCAATCAGCACAAAAAACAGCAGTAGCACTTCTGCTGCAACTTAGAGCGCTGCAGGGATAAATGGTAATTGGTAAACGGACTGTACATATATAGCACTTTTCTATCCATCCAGGACRCTCAAAGCACTTCACTACAATCACTCCTCATTTACCCATTTACATAATACTCTACTAGGTTTCTACAAAGCTAACATGTACAAACATCTATGGAAACTAATCAGTGCCAATCACATTCATACACTGATGGGACACACATCAGAGGCTTTAGGGTTAAGTATCATGCCCAAGGACACAACAACTGATACAGCTGGACAGAGGATTGAACCGGTGACCTTCCGGTTCCAGGACAACTCCCCTAACCACACTGCCACAGTCGCACCATATATAGGGATATTGTAATATTTCTGCCAATATAACCACATTTAACACATTCTCACTCCCGACTCGGCAACATGTTGACGCTTTTACAAAGTTCCCTCTGCGTCTTATTTTAACTCGTCGGGTGACCCCCTCGCGTCAGTCTTTGCCGCCCACGGCTTTTCCGGGTTGCGCCACCAGGGGTCTTTGGGTCGGGGGTCTGAGGTTAATATGAGGGATCAGGATTAATGGTTAAGTTTGGGGTCAGGGATAGGATGTCTATGGCGAATATTAGGTAATTTTAGGCTTTGGAACACGTGGTTGACATGAATTTCCTACATTTTCTAAAAATGGTTAATTTTACATTTCATGGTTAATGGTTAATTTTAGGTACTGGGGTCAGGGACAGGATGTCTAAAGTGAATAAAGGTAATTTTAGGCTTTGGGATGGTAGTTTTTGTGCATTTTCTACACTTTCTGAAATTATGACAACAGATTCCGCCCCGTCTCGTCAAAAAATGACGCAAGGGGAGTACCCGACGCGTCAAAATCGGACGCAGAGGGAACCTTGGGAAAAGCATCAATAGTATGTGATGACTTGGGAGTGRGAATGGGTTGCCACATTAGGTGAGACTGGCAGTGTAAACATAAAAAAAACTGTGTTTGCAGGAACTGCTTTGAAATATTTTTTGAGACAGGAGCTGTTTTTAAGATGGCTGCAGCCCATTCTGGTTTCAGCCCCACCTGAACTAGCTGCTAGCTCATCAATCAAGTCACCACATTTCATCAAAGTGAGGTAATCCAAAGAGTCACCTAGTTAGCTCTTATCTGTTCATACATTTTCCACAGAAACCCACTTTTAGAATTGTGAACCTCGATGACACGTTCATCTGTGACTGAGTGAGGGGTTCAGCCTTCCTGCCTGATTGATGGAGGTTTTACACTCTCATGGTTTTTTTCACATGATGTTAATATGGCAGCTGTCAAATGTTCAACAAAGAGCATCCAGGGAGCTTTCTTTTAACAATGTGATCATTCTGTCACAGGCTGACCCTTCGGTGTTAAAAGCGACCTTTGCRGAAGCAGAACTGCTTTATCACCAAGGTTGCAGTCATCTCCTGGTCTGAGCCTGCCCACACCTTCGTCAGCGCGATTAGAGAACAAGCTTTTAAACTGCGTTGTAAGCTGTGTCCTAACTCTCCCAAGGGCACTTGAAACTGGTTGCCATATCCCATTTATTAGCTTAATAAATTGTGAAATGATTCTGTTGATGAGGCCTTATTTCAAACGGAGAGCGAAGGCGCGGCAGTAAGCACTAAACTTTTAATCTAACAGCTGCATCTCTGCTCGGCGACTAAGCTGCCCTCAAAATCATCGCGGAGGCCGACGCTTAATCAAGAGGCCGCTGGAGGAAGGAACGGAACGCGCCGTGCAGCGGGTTTCTGAACAGGAATCGGCGGGAGGAGAGAAAAGCAGGCGTTAATTAAAAACACATTAACCGGTTATCATGAGTTGACACWTTTCGCTTGATCTTGTTTCCTAATCAGCAGTAATGAACAAAGTGTTCTCCATCCACTGGGTTTTACATGCAACGTTTCAGTGAGCAGTAAAATTAGCTGAGGGTCCTGGAGCTAAGCTGAACTGATGAAGCTTTGCTACTTTTGACTACGGTTCTTGTACTACTTAACGGAACGCCGTTTCCTCTCCAGCTTCTCACTCATATTATAGACGTGGCTCCCTTCATCTGAAAATATAATTTCATATTTATCTCGGGCAATACAGAGAATTATTAAAGTTAACTTCTATCACAGAAGCTGTAGGCATAGCTTTTGCTAACCATGAATGCTTGCGTACAAATCTGTGAATTATATGTATAAATATGTATTTTTAAACATGTGTTAAAGGGACAAAAAGGAAAGGCAGGAAATGACTCTTGCCATTTAAAACAACTTAAGCCTTAAAATATCCCAGTGATTCAAACAAMTAGTCACAAACACTTACATCAGATAGTTACTCTAACTGGATGTGTCTAACATTGTCTGTTTTGCAACATGTGTTTCACACAGAACATTATTAACACAGAGCAATGTGGTCTGTGGAGTAAACAACCACAGACTTTATTGTGAATATGTGATGCAAATGTGACACATTGGGGTTTTCTAAACAAATTTCACATAAACCTCTGTTAAAAATTCGAAACTCTGAGCTGGCCACAGCCTGACGTTGTTAGCTCGCTTCTTCCAAAAAACAAACAAACGAGAAATAAAATACAATAAATG